CATCAAGGAGCTGGCAGAGAAACTCTACAAGAACGTGAGTGCTGGAGCCCCGGGGTGGGCTGGGGTGTGGGGCTGGGGGAGCTGGGGTGCAGTCAGGTCACTCTGCAGGGACAGCCTGGGGATGGATGCTGTCCCTCCTGCTGTGCTCAGGGACATCCTCACGTCCCCAGAGGTCCTGGGATTCCCTGGTTTTATAAGATCACAGAATCCCAAAGTCCCTGGGGCTGGAAAAGCCCTCCCAGCCCATGGAGCCCCAGCTGTGCCCGATGCCCACCTTGTCCCCTGAGTGCCACCTCCAGGAATTCCCTGGGCACCTCCAGGGATGGGCACTGCAAACCTCCCTGGGCACTTCCAGGGCCTGACCCCCTTTCCATGGGGAAATTCCTGCTGCTGCCCCCCCTGAGCCTGTCCTGGCCCAGCCTGAGCCTGTCCTGGCCCAGCCTGAGGTCTCCAGTGGCACCCAAAGCTCCCCGGGAGCCCGGGCTGGCTGGCACAGAGCTCCTGGTGGCCCTGGGCTCACGGCTGTGTCCCTGCTGCTCTGGGGAGAGATCCTGGGGCTGGGAGCAGATCCCAGTTCTAGAAGCAGATCCCAGTTCCAGGATCAGACCCCAGCTCCAGGATCAGACCCCAGTTCCAGGATCAGACCCCAGTTCCCGGCTCAGACCCCAGTTCCAGGATCAGATCCCAGTTCTAGGAGCAGACCCCAGTTCCAGGATCAGACCCCAGTTCCAGGATCAGATCCCAGTTCCAGGATCAGATCCCAGCTCCCAGCTCAGACCCCAGCTCCTGGCTCAAACCCCAGCTCCAGGATCAGATCCCAGCTCCAGGATCAGATCCCAGCTCCCAGTTCCCAGCTCAAACCCCAGTTCCCAGCTCAAACCCCAGTTCCAGGATCAGACCCCAGTTCCAGGATCAGACCCCAGCTCCCAGCTCAAACCCCAGTTCCAGGATCAGACCCCAGTTCCAGGATCAGACCCCAGTTCCCAGCTCAAACCCCAGTTCCAGGATCAGATCCCAGCTCCAGGATCAGACCCCAGCTCCCAGCTCAAACCCCAGCTCCCGGCTCAGACCCCGATCCCGAGGCTGAGCTGTCCGTGTCCCCCAGGAGAACCCGTACCCCGCAGTGACGATGCACAAGGTGCAGAGGCCGTCCGAGGGGTGTCACCTGCGGCTGCAGCCGCGGCCGTTTCCCCGCCTGGACGAGGGCACGGTGCAGTGGATCATCGACCAGGCCACGGCCAAGCTGCAGAGCGCCCCGCCCGCCGTCAGGGCCGAGAAGAAGTGCATGGTGCCCTCGGGACCCCCCATCGGTGTGTGGGGTCTGGGGGGGTGTGGGGACCTCGGGACCCCATTGGGGTGTGGGGTCTGGGGGTATGGGGACCCTGGGACCCCCTATTGGTGTGTGGGGTCTGGGGGTGTGGGGACCTCGGGACCCCCCATTGGTGTGTGGGGTCTGGGGGTGTAGGGACCCTGGGA